GGCAACAGCCGAGTTGAATGGAACATTCCATCTTTCACCGAATGAAAATATTCTTACCATTGCACGAAGAAACATTCATTATTTGTTTTATATAATACCAAAAGTCCAGAACAGACTAATAGATTCGTATGAGAAGCATTTTGAGGGATGCGATTTATCGAAAACACAACGAGTGCAATTGTACTATACGTTTTATTCCATTGCACTCGCGGAGAGTGCAATGGAACGCGTTCCATTGCACTCTTGGGAAATGGATTTTCTATTCAATATCACGTGACCATAAACAGCCAATTAAACGATTAGAATTTAATAAGGTATTATATAATATTAACTCTACCATACTATGCAGTGTACATGCACGGAGGGATATTTATCGTAAGCCGCCTGTTTTTCTACCAACCAGTGGCGCCGTGGCCGGGGGGGGGAGGCAGGGGGGCATGGCCCCCTTTGTTGAGACCCGTCGGAAAATTATTATTATTATTATTGTCTTTATTAGGGTCCACTACAGTATATGTACAAAGTCTAATTATATAGTCAATTATTCGGAGACCCTAAATGGGCGAGGCGCAAGCGGGACTCGAAGAACCATGCAAGGCACGGTAGGCACCTGCCCAAACTTAGTAAAAATTTACTGTTCTAATTGAAAATCTATACTGTTCGGTAAACCTCGGAGGTGCATACGCCTCATAAAAATCGAGGGTTAGTTGTTGCAATCGTTGTTGTTCGACAATTTACTGTTGTCGGAATCTTCGTGGTCAAGCATACCTGCATATACTCAGGCCCGCCGAGTGCTAGTTCTGAAAAAGTGCTACGAAAGCAATTGTAACGTTTTTGTCCGGAAAATTTTTTTAACAAAAAAGTTGTCGGCGGGGGGGAGAGATAATTTGTTCTCCAATTAGGGACCGTTCATTAATTATACGTCAGGGTGGGCTGGAGGAAAAAGAGCAGAAACGGTGCAAGTTTTCCATGACCCCCCCCCCCATTAAGGTTTTAATTTTTTCATGACCCCCCCTTCTACCCGATAATTTTTTCACTCCCCCCCATTTATTTTACTATTGATATCCACTTTTCCGATTTTTGTCGTGAACTGGTGACTCAGACTGATATGTTAATGTATAGCAATCATTCATTCAGCACCATGTATTACATAAAATCGGATAATCTTTACAATATCAGTCAGAACCAGATCATGACGCCAAAGATGACTATGACTAATCACCAGTGTATATGGGGCATTATAGATGATGCTAATATATTCAAATAGAAAATAATATATACAATATATACATAGATCATTGGTTTTGGTTGTGAAGGCTTAATATTTGAAACTGGTCATCCTAAAATATTAATAAGTACCATAAATAATTTTGACAATCCCCCCCCTTCATGCTGAAAAAAAATTTTAAAAGCCCCCTTTCTAACATAAATTGTTTTGCACACCTTTCTTCTCCAGCCCCCTGGTCTTAATTAATGAACGGTCTCTTAATAGTTCAATAATAGTTCAATCGCAAAAATTCGATCTCTTGGCCTTGACAATCATTGACTAAAATTCATGATTGACTATTGGCAAATTCAGTTTGCGGACATTACTACTGTCAAGCTTTCCTTTCACACGGATACGATTGAATATTTAATAGTGGATACCAGCAATATTTGTTAGGCACTATGGACAATGAAATGTTCTGTTATGAGTTTCATTTTGTTTTGTTTTATAGTTCGTGAACTATGTCTATCGAAATTCATGTTTTTGGCAACTGAATTTAGCTTAATTACAACATTCTAGCTCTGATAGAACATGCATGCCACGCAAATAGTGGAAGTTTTTTTTTGTCTACAGTATATTGTCTGTCCAATTCCGGGGGCAAAAAAAGGTGGGGGCAGGGGCAAGCGAGCACAGCAGAATAATTCGTGTATTTTTACCTGTTTCTCTATATAGGTGTACTGATATAGAGAAACATATCATCGATAATAAATTCGCTCGAAGATCAAGTCTATATTATACAAGTCCATGTTTTGCAAGTCCATGTTTTACAAGTCCATGTTTTACAAGTCCATGTTTTACAAGTCCATGTTTTACAAGTCCATGTTTTACAAGTCCATGTTTTACAAGTCCATGTTTTACAAGTCCATGTTTTACAAGTCCAGTCCATAGTTTACCAGTCCAGTCCAAGGTCCAGTCCATGTTTTACAACATGCCGGAATTTTATCTTAAACCATTGTTTACCGCAGCTGTAGGCCTTGTGGTCGTGCGCGATCGGAAATGCTCAATAACCTTTTTGTCGGTTGTGCTTCCACAACACCTTGTGGTAATTTTGAGTTGCAGATTACCTACAAGTTACAGATATTGCACAGCACACACCCTACCTCCTCCGCAAGTCATACAGCCCGTAATGAGTATACCGGCTGCGGAGGAGGTAGGCACACTCCTATATCAGGGTTTTCAGTGACTGGTTATATTAGGACCGGAACTGGCGTGAAGCAGACCGAGGTAGATTGTGAGCTTATAGATGGTGCTTTAAGCAGCCGCTATTAGTCCGTACCTCATTAATGATCTGCCCCCCTGACCTGACATGGTTTCCGCACAATTTTTAAATGTTATGACAAATCTTTTTACTGAGATACCTTTTTCGTATCATGTACTTCATCGACAGCATTGCTTGTATTCTTAATTCGAAACAAAAGCACTCGTACCCTAATTTATTATATAGTAGACAGTGCCGGACACCAAAAAATACACGGTGAGATATTTTCCATAACTACATCTCCACTAGTGAAGATATCGATTAAGTGTTCATTTTCTTTGTTATTTTTACTAACGACTATATAATAAAAAGAACATTAAATACACGGTGGCTTGAAGTTTCATATCTTATTATTTATCTTCTCGTGGTGAAAACTGAAAACAATATTTTTTACTCACTCAAAAATTAAAATTTATATCTTCGCACCGCCGTTAGTCTGCGATAGCAGACTGGCTCAGAAGCCCCCCCCCGGCCCCCCTCCCCCACTGGAGCTGCGGAGAAACAGCAGACTAATATCAGAGGCAGAGCGTAAGAAGGGCTCTGGGTACGAGAATGAGGCAGTGCCGATCAGTCTGCTATCGCATACTACACCCTGTCTCCGTACCCAGGCGTTTCTTTGTAAAAAAACAGCGATGCGCATATGACGAGTTCACATGAAGTATTGTAGTACACCGCCGTCTAACATCCTCTATATAGTACTCTCCTTGACCTTTCAAGACTAATAATGCAACATATCCTCACACGTAGTATTAGGGAAGCTGGACGCGCAGGGGCGGGAATATTAAAAAAAGGTAATTATCACAGAATAAGGACCTATACAGAAGTCCCACTCTCGTGTGCGACATGGCACCTTTTTTCCACTGCGCATGCGTTAGGTCCGCCATCTTCCTAGCAAGTAAAACCGCAGCAAGCTAATAGTAAATTGTATGGCGAAACACCGAGTCGATGCAAGAAAACTTCAATAAAACGCTCAAATTTCATCGAATCGCCATAAAAATTATAGGGTATGAAAGAACACACATTTCTAAATGATAATAAGGTGTAATGGATGAAATTCCGCGCATTTATACTGGATAAAACGGGCGTGAGTGTCGAACAATAATCGATTCAATTATATGAATTTCAAGCGTTTTCGAATCAGGTAAGTTTTATAACTGTCTTTGACAATTTTATGCATGGGAATGTTCATTTAATGATTGGACCATTACACTAGATCTAACTGCTTAGTATTTAGTCACGAGAAAAGTTTTTGTAAGGTAATTTCTCTGCAATTTGCAATGACATGTTTAATATATTAAATATATCACTGATCACTGATGGCACTGAAGACAATGCCTGAGTTCTAGAGCTTTATTTAGGAAACTCTATTCTTGTATTTAAAATTGCAGCAAGCAACCAAACGCTATTGTCGATTTTTTAATATTGTACTTGAAATTTATCTATTTTTGTCTTGTATATAGCTGATGGAACCCAATGAGGCAATGACCAGTATGAGGAATCAGGAATGGACTGATTTCAGGGAAAGAAGAGATTATTTCATTGGGCTGATTGGCACCAAAAATTAATTTTTACAATATTGAGTCAGTTGGGTTCATGGCTTGTTTGACATTCATAAAACATGGCGTATTTGTGTGCAACACTTCAGGACAAAGGAAATGTGTATTATTGCATTACTGATTTAATATGAGATCTATACATCTTGGTAGCCAAGTTGGTTGAAGGATAGCCCAAAGACATTTCAGTTAATGGTATGGTGGACATATCTGAAGATGTTGGCCCCAAACCCATAATTCCCACAAGAATGACAAGATCATCTGGTACCAATATTTTATCCTTCCACCCACAGAAAGTAGGACTTTGTCTAGCACTTTCCAGAGCTTGAATTTCTCATGTGCAACAAACTGTCTTCCAGCAGACTTAAGAGAACCTAACACATTCTTAAAGTACAAATACATTTAAGAGATTGTTAGGAGACTATTGGGTCGTTCCAGAAAAGATCCACAGTCCCCCCACGGAGGAAATTTCTGCCGTCCGGAGGGGGGAGGGGAGATAAAATTGTTTCTGATAATAGTAAATGTATTAGGACATCCGAAGGGAGTAGGGGGTTAACTTCCAATTTCTTCGTGGGGGTGGTATGGATGTTTTCTGGAATGACCCATTACTCGAAAGCCCTGCATTGATGCAGACGATGCAAGAACATGGAAATCTGTGTTTAAACTATAAAGGTTGTCGAAGTTTGAACTATGTTATTAACTGCTGTTTCTAGATGTTTGTCGTTAAAAGGCCCACAGTAATTGATTTTAACTGTTGTGGTGCTAGATAGATAGATGTTTTATTAAAACTACTTCGAAGCTGAAGCTGAATTGCGTAGATGTTTACGTAATATGTACAAGAATGGTGTAGGTTATATAAATATTTACAATTGGTGACAGGAGACAAGGTGCAAATGACATTATTTACTATTTAACATATGTGGTATAAAAGTGTTCTTGAAACGCTTAGTGCGTGCTAAAAGAGAACTAAAGGAACGTTTGTGTCTCAGATTATATGTCTGCTTCTTCTTTGGGGGTAAAAGTTTATAAAGTTTGTGATCTGAGTTTGATGTTATCGAATCAAACAGCTTCAAACATAACATTTGCCTTCGATTGACTAAAGTTTCTTGCCCAGAATACTCTAAGCATTTATTATACTTTTCGCATTTAAATATAATTCCCAATGATCTTTGCTGGACACGTTCTAAATCATCTGCCAGATACTGTGGTAGAGAGTGATGGAAGACTGGCGCTGCATATTCCAATGCGGGCCTAATACAAGTACAGTAAAATTGCACAATTTCTTTTTCTGGGACTTTTGCTCGTTTCAATTGTACTAAGCAATACAAACGTTTGTTCGCTTTCTTTATGGTATCCTCGATGTGCATGTTCCAATTCAAAGAGCTGGAAATAGTAAGACCCAGTAGTTTAGCATGTTTGACCACTTCAACCGGTTGATCGTTTACCATAACAGGATTAAATTGTTGCTTTTCCCGTTTGAAGTCAATTCTTAATTCTTTGCACTTGCTTGAATTTAATTGGAATCTATTTTGTAAAGACCACTCCTGGAGTTCAGAGGAACTATGTTGGATATTACTATCCGTGCCTTTTTGAATAATCTCTGATGTAGAGGTGTCGTCGACGTATTTCCATGTATCTATGCCATCTAACCGGAGGTCATTTATCATTAATAAGAATATCCAAGGGCCTAGTTTTGTGCCTTGAGGCACTCCAGATGGAACTCTTTCCCAGTCTGAATAAACATTAGACAATTTGACCCTTTGGAATCTATTCATTAGGAAGTCTACAACCCAGCAAGCAACTTTACGGGGGATTGGTAGATCATTAATTTTCTTGATTAGAATGTTATGATCGATAAGATCAAAAGCCTTTCTATAGTCATATAATATGACTCTTACTGCAGCGCCTGAACTGTCCGTAGCTTTGGACCATTGATGAATCATCGAGATTAAGGCTTGGGTGGTTGATGATTTTGGAATAGCACCATATTGGTTGGGATCAATGATTTTCAGGATTGCAGGTGCTATGTAGTTGGAAACGATAAATTCTTCACCAACTTTGGAAATGCAAGATGTTAAGGAAATTGGTCGCAAGTGTTTGTTTATATCCATAATTGGCTTTTGTTTCGGAAGTGGAGTGACATCTGCATATTTCCACGATGATGGTAACCTCTGCTCCTTATATGAGCTACTTAAGACAGAGCAAACAGGTTTTGCAAGGATTTCAGCATAATCTTTTAGGATCCAGTTGGAAATTCCATCGGGGATGGATTTACTGGGGGTGTTGGGGGGGGGGAGGTGCACCCCCTTAACCCTGGCCAGAGGGGGTGCACCCCCCTAGCCCTGGCCAGAGGGGGTGCACCCCCCTAGCCCTGGCCAGAGGGGGTGCTGGGGTCTGCTATATTTCATGGTAAAGCAAAAAATTATTAGAGAGAAAATGAACAAAATGAGATACAGTAATTTCAGTAATAACATGATGATAAACAAACTGTGAACAACAATTACAATTCAAATACAGTAGTCAAGCAAGACTTTGCAGTAGCGAAGCAAGTTGATGGGCGGGCAGCACACATCACCGACACAACTTGGCACCAGAGCACCACCCCCCCCCCCCTACCAGATCATGCTGGATCCATCCCCGGTAATATTAATATTATTATATATGGTGAAGGTTGAATAAATATAAATTATATGACCATTTTGGACGTACAGATGTAACAGATATACTACTGATGAATATATCTGTCACCTGTCAACATTTGTTCCCCGAGCCGGCGGCGCGAAGCGCCGTGCGAGGGTACTAATTCCCCCCGGCTATTTACACCCGGGGAAACGAAAGCATTAGCGGAGTCTAAAGTTCATCAAATATCGCGGGCGTCGGTCACCAACGATGGGTGGTCATCCTCACTGATCTCAAAAATATGGCGGACTGTCATGAATAACGGACACTGATTGGTCCAATTTAAAGTTTGCATTATAACGGCTGTATGACGACAGCGAAATAGCAAACATTTCTTGATTTGATGAGTTGATAAATTTCTTGCAAATATTCTTCATTTTTGCTGGTATTTCTGCAAGATTTTATAAATTTCAAGAAGAAAGGGCGAAAGAATCAGCTAAAAGAAGGGAGCCGACGTTAACGAAGGTAAGTTTGTTTTAAATATTGATTTTATAATGGCTTTAAAACCCGACGGCCTTTGCGTATATGAAACAACTATTAAAACAAGACAGCATATAATTTCAGTGTATCTTTAATACTGATTCCCTTTTTTATTATATTGAATTTTTTGAATAAAAAATAAAGCAAAGTTGATTTGCAAGCGAGAATTTGAAATCATTTTATTGCAAACTCAAAGTTTATCGATAAAGCCATTTAATAGTTAAAGGCAGTTTAGTTTTATAAAGAACACTTTAAAACGTTTTGTGAATTGTTTGTGGTTGAATTTTACCTTAAATTGAAGCTTGTATTACGTATAATTACATACCTAACATAAATATGTTGGGAAATTGATAATTTTGTAATTAAAAGTGATATTTTTAGGCGATTTTCATTTGTAAGAATATTCTTAAAAAATTATCGTGTTACCATGACAACTACTTTAGATACTTCATGTTCGGAAAATACAACGGTTTTGTCAGCAAGGCGAGGGTTTCTGCATGCATGTATTTTCTAGTAATAATCTACTATCTTAACAGAGAGCAAGTTTTTATTGGAATCATACATCAGGAACAAAACTGTTCACTTCCATTATGCCAGACTATCTAACACCAGATAATTTTACTCATCAATGGGGAAGCTCTGCAGCTCAATGGTTTACCAAAAAATCTGACAATGTCTCTAGGTTAAACCATTGAGCCACAATATGCCCTACTTAGACTAAGAAATATATATTTCTGAATAGCAATAAAATATTCTATAGTTTTGGGTTCAAGTTCACACATTTGCATCCATCAAGAATAGAAAATCAACTACAAAATTGGTAGTATGAACCAAGCTTTAGAACATGTACAGTTTGTGATCTAATCTGTAATGTGAGATGTTTTTGTTGTGTTTAAGTATACATTTATACAATTTAATCTTGAAAAGCTTCAAAAAACATTTCATATGTCTTTGCAATGGTTTTATACATCATAAAGCCGAGTCATTAGCTTTGATGGCCTAACTTTTGCCGAGATGTTCGATATGTAGTTGCCATGGAAATGTTGGAGCTGAAGTTATGAATGCTCAAAAGAGTTGAGGGTTATGTGTCCATGACTCTCACTTTTTGAATTCTGAAAATATGCACAAATTGTGTATTTGACCTCTCTTAAATTATGCTTCAGCAGCCAAATAGAACCATTAAAAAAGAGACATAAGCATGTCTATTGTGCTTTTCAGGCTTAAAGGTAGAGGTTTTGCAGTTGTGAGTTTTCACAACTAGATTTACTATAGAAGACATTTTCATCACAAACATTTTGTCACCGTATGTCTACATTGACAAAAAATTTCCATATTACAAAATATTCCCATTTTGCATTACAATTAAGTTAATGTTTGTAGAAGTTGTTCAAATCATGGAAGTTGTTTCATCTGTGATCTTTCAAACTGAAAAAAAGGAAATATATCAGTGATATACTGGTATAAAGTGCATGCAAGAACAGTCATGAGTATCACTAAAATGGATATTAAATAATTTGAAAAAAACTTAAAACAAAGTAACTATCTTATATCAACTAATTTAACTATCTTATATCAACTAATCAGCCAGCCAATTACATATTTCCAACAATACATATGATTCTTGTATTTCTTGAAATTGTGCTTGGATAAGTTGGATTTAATATGCAAATTACCAACCAGAAACGGTATGACATAACATGATGTCTTTCAAAATTAAGTAAAGCAATACAAAATTTTCATGTAAGAATATATTTTGTAGCAATACGAACAAAAATATAAAAATAACTCAAACCTAACTATGAATACTATCTTGGTCACGAAAAACACCGCACTAAATTGTTAAATTACAGCTTCAAAACTTTAAATATTCTTTGTAAATAAGACTAGATAAGACCACATACCTTCTTTTTAAACAAATCATTCATTTTTTGATAATTTAGAAGGAAATCGTCGCTGAAAATCCAATTTTTGCAGTTAACTCCCTAATAACTCTATATAAAATCCTCCATTTTTACTTGCTGGGAAGATGGCGGCCGAGATGCGCGAGGCGACATGCGCGGCGCCATTTACATTAAAGGTTCCGACTTGAGTGGCACTTCTATTCAGTTCTTATTCTATGGTCATACTGTAATAAAAGCCGTAATATAAACAAAACATTTAATTCTCAAAATATTGTTTAAATTTTTCCAATTGCACTCTAAATTTCTGTCAGAGTCTTTTTAACTTTGAAATTTGAATATGTCAAAAACGCTATCATATCATATGTCCTCCGCTCCTTCCCTCCCTATTCTTGTTTGTAATTAATTTAAGTTTGATCACTGCTATATATAAACAATTCCTATTGTGTTTTAACAAGGTCAACCAAATACTTGATTACAGCCCCTCCCCCTATTTATTTTCACCAAGTCGTACAAATT